AACTCTTCGCTCGAATCGGAGAGGCGAAATGACACAGCGGACTGATGAAACCTTGCCTTAGGGAAGCCAGTCAGTCAGGCGATTTGTCTTCTGTCGATGAAAGCACGAATAAAAAAGGGGACATGTAATGTCCGTACCATGTATGAGATTGGAAAGACTGTCCAGGTAGCCAAAAAAATGCAAAGATGTGGTATACAAGCGCTAGCAATCTGTGAAAGCAGATGGAATTGATGCAGACCGTGACAATTGTTAACTCGTGAGTCAGTGATCTACTCCGGTCTGGTCAACCAGACGACAACCACGATCACACTGAGGAAATGAGTGGCTGTCATAAAGTCCTCAGTGCGAGCCAAAGCCCTAATGCTGTGAGAACCAGTTTCATCCAGGAATATGAAAGAAAGATTCAACTGAAAAGGCGTTAAAAGAGAAGTAGTGTGTTTTCAACATCCCTAATGCTGACATCAAAATCCTCGTAGGCGATATGAAAGCCACACAGTGAGCAAACGATACACGAAGAGAACTAACCATGGGCCGAGAGGCTCTCAATCGGTGAAATGAATGAGAATAGAGAATTATTCACAGACCTCTGCGCTTTCAGTGATTTGGTGATTGGAGGCAGCACAAGGACAAATACAAAGCAACATGGATTTCGCCTGATGGACACACCAGAATCCAAATAGATTTCATCTCAAAACTGTTCAAGGAAGTAGAGAAGCAGTTGGCCTGATGGACACGACGTCTAGAAGGGAAGCACATGTGGGCTCAGACCATCATCTAGTTCAAAGAACATTAAAGTTGAAGCTGAAATCCTTCAGAGCAACTGGAGACAGGCCACTGTAATTCAAGTCCAATATTCAGAAACTGAAGAACAAAACTATAACTGTCGCCTTTACTACAGATAAATTCAAAGAAAAGTCAGACACATTACGTGGTATCACTGAGAACACCTGTTTGGAAGATATTTGAAACTATCTGAAGGAGATGTTCAAGGAAGCGAATAGGACAAGGAATAATGACTCGCAATGAATATATAAAAGCTAATCGAGGAGAGGAGAATGATGAAAGAGAAGACTATTGAATGCAAGTTTTTATTGTATTGCTTTGCATTCTTAGGTGAACCTTCCATCTTTATTTATCTTTACGAGCTAAGTAATGTATATCAGTGCTTCCACCATAAATCCAACCCAGAACGTGAGTAAAAAATCAAAAGAGAATACTACAATACTAACAGTTTAAGCAGTAGTATTCATTCGCCGAATAATTGAAATGTGTTGTAGAGATCAATTATAGAGCCAAATTAAAGGTGCTAGATGGATAGCATTTGTCGTAATGATGTCTGTCACACGGATTCCTAGGAGGTTTTATTTCTGAGTAGTGTTAAAATATCAGAGATTCCCATGCAGGACAACTCCTGGAAAATGGCAATGCACAATTTTATTCTTAAATCAATGTAGGTATCAAATTTGTGTTCTACGGTAGAATATTATTATTATTATTGTATCCTTTAGTTCCTAGAGGAACATAGGGCTTCAGCTGCGCACCTCCATTGCCTTCGGTTTTCTGACAACTTTTTCACCCTGCTCCAGGTCTGTCCACATGCTTTCATCTCCTCCTCGCATGACCTCCTCCAAGTCACACATGCACTGACGACCAACTCGCCGCCTACCTTTCGGGTTCCACTCGAGGGCTTGTCTAGTGATGTCACATGATGGTTTCCTCAGTGAATGGCCAATCCATCCCCATTTCTTTGTGCCTGTTTGTTTCACAATCGGTTCCTGATTGGTTCGCTCCCAGAGATGTTTGCTGCTGATCTTTTCCGGCCATCTCATCTTGAGTATTGAGCAAAGACAGCTGTTAATGAAGGTCTGAAGTTTGTTTGAGATGCTCTTTATGACTCGCTAAGTCTCTGATGCGTATAGCAGCACTGACTTTACGCTGAAGTTGAAAATCCGGATCTCATATTTCATGTCGAGTGCTGTTGACCCCCAAACAGACTTGAAAGTGATGAGAAACTCTCTGGCTTTCCCGATTCTTGCTTTGATATCCTCGTCAGTTCCGTTGGCCTGTAGTTGAAACGATGCTTCCCAGGTAGGTAGATAAAGGAGGTTGTTTATTTAAGGTTCCTCCCATTTATGCTGGCTGATTGTTGTCTGTTGTTGTTGTTGCTGTTGGTGTTGGCCAGGAATCTTCATCACCTTTGTTTTATCTATGTTCACCTGAAGTCCTCTCTTCCCTGGATGCTTCTTCTGTCAACTTGTTACTTTTCACTTGCATATCTCCTATCCAGTTTGTGGGAAATCAGACATACATCATCGGCGAAGTCCAGATCCTCCAAGTCTCTTTTTGTGTGAGTCCATTTAATGCCTGTTTCCTCATTGCCGGACGCTGTCTAGCGCATTATCCAATCTACTGCAATCAGGAAGATCATTGGTGATAGTAGACAGCCTTGTCGCACTCCCGTCCTCACTTCGAAGGCTTCCGTAAGTTTCCCGTTGTGGATTACTTGGCATGCCGCATTGTCGTATAACTGTTGGATGAGATGTATAATTGTCGGTTTCTTTCCGTAGTAGCGAAGTAGTTGTCAAATCACCTCTCGATCGACGCTGTCAGCTGAAGGCCTTTTCAAAGTCGATGAAGTTGAGTGAGGTGGAGAGGGGACTGCCATTCCAAGCTATGTTCAATGATGATCCGTAGTGTGGCGATTTGATCAATATATGACTTGTTTCTCCTGAATCCAGCTTCTTCCGGTCAAAGATTTGCATCCAGGATGGCTTGTTTGATTCTCTCCAGGATGATGCGGCCCAGTATTTTGCTTGAGATGGACAGAAGCATCATTCCAAGCCAGTTTTCGCATTGACTTAAGTCTCCTTTCTTTGGTAGTTTGAATAAGTATCCTTTCTTCCAATCCTCGGGTAGTATAATCCCACAATATAATCTCAATTACTCATTTGATAAGATTATTTTATGAAACACGCAATGGTGACACTGTGTTAATTCCTGGATGATGTTTCAAACGCAAACTATTTCTAATAATCATGTAAACACATCCACACGAGTCTTCGTAGTTTTATGGGTGTATTTCTCATCTTCTCTTTGCTATTCATTGTAATATTCTATACATCCGGAATGAACATTACGACATTTCTATTGCACTTGTTCGATGTTGATTTGCTGAACACACATTCTGTGAATAACCTCTCTGTCTCCACCTAATCATATCACTGTTTATTGCTTCCACCCTGTCCCTTATTACAGTGTGAATATGTGCGACTGAGTGAACTGCGATGTCTCACTTTCCCGTGTTATTTTACACAACAGCGTCAATTATCCTACCTCTGGCCATGACTCCTACCTTTCGATAATCTACTGCTTTTGCCTATGTGTTCGACCTTACTCTCATTGGGCAGTAATCGGGATTTCATATGATTTCTCCCTAAAGGGATGTATCGTAACCTTGAGTCAACAAAGCCCACCTCAGAGTGAATTGGTTGTTTTGAATTCCGGTGTAGTTTTAGCCTTATTTGAAATCTTACTTTGGTTGTCGGATATGTCTTCCTTTTGTGACAGTACTGTCGAGGCTATCAGTTGTTTATTATTCATATTATTTTCATAAATTACTAAATTATGGATTTCATACATCACTGAATAAAATCTGCTAGGCCACTATTCCCTGACCGTATTTTTTCACTTTTTAAATCTTCTAACTTACACTGGTCATGTTGTTCAAGTAACTTCAACCCCGTTCTTCACTGAGATTTCATGTTTTGCCGTATCACAATAACAGTATGGTCCTTCGTCTACCGTGCCTTGCAAAACGCACACTTCACAAACTCATTTCTCAGCATAATCCAGCAGAGTTATCCAGAGAACAGTGGGAGACGTCCAATGGCTCGAATGTTCAGGACAACCATAGATATCGTTTACAATTACCTACGAGATATGGATGAAAGATAAAATGAGTGTAAGGTTTCTGCACTCGTGTATTGAGGAGGCATTAGCAATTTGTCAGTATAACATTAAAATTTCTATGCAGCCCATTTATTTTGCGGCAGTTTTAAACTCTTTCTCCCCGTCCTTTCATTCTGTCTCTACTAATTGATTTATTATTATCATTTTCACATGTTTCCTCAGTACATAACACCAATAAGGAGCCCGGAATAAGTTATCATCTAGCGTAAATATTTTCGGAACAGAAACGTTCAATTCAGTCGAACAATGTGAATAATAGTCTAATTATAAATCTCGATTTATATTTTCCCTGACTGTGTGTCATGCATCAAATTTTGTGATTTAATTCATCAACGTCAACACTTCAGCTCATTCAAGGTGAATCATACTGTTTTCAGGTATTTTGTGAGGTTACACAAGCTTAACATCCATTCCTGAATTTTGCATGCTTACATTCAAACTGCTAAAGAAAGGAGATTTAAGTCAATGCAAAAACTGGCGTGGAATTATGCTTCTGTCCATCTCAAGCAAAATACTGGGCCGCATCATCCTGGAGAGAATCAAACAAGCCATCCTGGATGCAAATCTTTGACCGGAAGAAGCTGGATTCAGGAGAAACAAGTCATATATTGATCAAATCGCCACACTACGGATCATCATTGAACATAGCTTGGAATGGCAGTCCCCTCTCTATCTCAACTTCGTCGACTTTGAAAAGGCCTTCAGCTGACAGCGTCGATCGAGAGGTGATTTGGCAACTACTTCGCTACAACGCGGTGCCATCGACAATTATACATCTCATCCAACAGTTTCAGATACTGAGTTAGATTCATTACTTCCATCATCTATAATTAATTTTTCACCCGAAATTAACGAAACAACAGATAAATTTGAGTTATCAAGTTATAATTGTACTATTAATTAATGATCCAAATTCAGTGCAGTTATATAGCGAAGAAGCTGAAAAATTTGACAACATTCTTCAAAGCAAATCAGATGTTATGTTCACTGTGGATACTTTAGAGACCTTGTCGACGCAAATCAGGCAACAAATGTCAGGTCCAGAAAATTGGGATGTAAACGAATTAAGTGATCCTATTGAGTTTGAAGGAGAGCATTCAGCAAATGAAATTGACCAGTCTGAAATCAATTTGTTAGGATCACCAAAATTGGATGATAATTTATATACACTGTGGCAAGAATTGGTCGAATCAGCTGCGCAAAAATCAATTTCAGTAGAGAGTAAATTAGATGAACAAGACTATGTTCAATGTGTTGGAGCTTATATCTCTGGCATAGGGCATCGGGATATTATCCCACTACGGAAACGTTCTAGTGGTCTCGAATTATTACGGAACACTGGGATTAGTCGAACATACTTTGGGAATGATTTACTTAAACATTTAATAGTTAATAATTCGAATGAAGAGTCTAATGAGAACAACGCATGTCATTCAAATGAATCTCCAGATACATGGGCTAACAGCAATTGTGAGAATGCATTCATTGGCTCCGGAATTTTGGATGTGTTATCAAAATTAGTCTTGCCTTTATCACTAAAAACAGATGGTTACTTACGTCAAAATTTATTAAAAACTGTCAAATGTACATAACCTACACTTATAGATGTATATATTTTCTTCATATATATATGTATATATATATATATATGCGTCGGTAGCACAGTGGTTAGGTCTCTCGCCGACCATGCACATGGTCCGAGGTTCGATCCCCTGCCGGCGCACACCTGATATCTATGGTCGGCCTGCATAATTTCGGCTACCGATATTCATGCTGAAAATTCCATGCTTGTACCAAAAATACAGTGTGGAATCAAGCTGTAAATCAAAAATAAATAAAATAAATATATACGACAATGCTGCACGCCAAGTAATACACAATGGGAAACTTACGGAAGCCTTCGAAGTGAGGACGGGAGTGATACAAGCTGGCTGTCTACTATCGCCAATGATCTTCCTGATTGCAGTAGATTGGATAATGCGACAGACAACGGCGGGAAATGAGGAGACAGGCATTAAATGGACTCACACAAAAAGAGACATGGAGGATCTGGACTTCGCCGATGATATATGTCTGATTTCCCACAAACTGGATAGGAGATATGCAAGTGAAAAGCAACAAGTTGACAGAAGAAGCATCCAGGGAAGATAGGACTTCAGGTGAACATAGAGAAAACAGAGGTGTTGAAGATTCCTGGCCAACACCAACAGCAACAACAACAACAGACAACAATCAGCCAGCATAAATGGGAGGAACCTTAAATAAACAACCTCCTTTATCTACCTACCTGGGAAGCATCGTTTCAACTACAGGCCAACGGAACTGACGAGGATATCAAAGCAAGAATCGGGAAAGCCAGAGAGTTTCTCATCACTTTCAAGTCTGTTTGGGGGTCAATAGCACTCGACGTGAAATATGAGATCCGGATTTTCAATTCCAATGTGAAGTCAGTGGTACTTACTGTACGGATCACAGACTTGCGTCTTCCAGAGCACCTCAAACAAACTACAGACCTTCATCAATGGCTGTTTTCGCCCAATGATTCTCAAGGTAAGATGGCTGGCTAGAAAAGATCAGCTACAGGGTAATCTGGGGCAAAACAACCAGGAACCGATTGTGAAACAAATAAGCCATACTCTGAGGAAACCATCAAGTGACTTCAGTAGACAAGCCGTTGCTCAAGGGGAACCCGAAAGGGAAGCGGCCAGTTGGTCGTCTAAGGGTGACTTGGAGGAGTTCATGAGAAGAGGAGATGAAAGCATGTGGTGAGACTTGGAAGCTGGCGAAAACTTTAGCAGAGAAGCGAACGCAATGGAGACGTGCGGCTGAAGCCCTATGTTCCTCTAGGAATTAAAGGAAATAATAATAAATATAACATGCTCATGACAGTACTTAGGATTTCAAGAGAGCAGTGTGATAAGTGACTCATCTGAATACCGAATAGCAATTCTAATTCCTAATCACCCCTGGCCACCATTATCCAAACATATCAAGAGAGAAGATAAAAGGGCCAATCTGGTAAGAATGACCGATTGAGTATTGACCCACATCTTTTATTCTCAGAAAAGTCAGTTGTTGGTCTTCTCCTTTATGTGGCAGAGTTGTAAGCAGTCTGTTATGAGATGATCTCCACACTATAAAACGCAACACTTCTTCGTTTGTCCTTTTACGAAATTTTAGTGTTGTATAGGTTCATCTTTGGAAGGCACATTCGCCTGAATCTTGTGGTAAACGCTTACTCGCTAGTGAGCAGTGATTTCTATTTTTCTAGATACTCTGTAGGATGACCATAAGTCAATTGAGCACATTTCGAGACATCATCTGCTACAGCGGTCATTTTTAATTTACACACCATGGTAGAAGTTGTAGTATGAAAGGCCGAAAAGCATGAATCATTTGAGGCAAGGCCATCTCACAAGTGGTCATAATTTCTAACCCTGCCATATATTCCGGGTATAATGTAGATCTGGTAATATCTTAGACGAGAAGCTTGAGAAATCGTGAGGAATTAACCAAACTGACTTTTTCATAGACTAAACATGATGATTATAGAGAGTAGTGCTCTTTGTTCTCCTAATGTGCCTTGACTCAAGTATGCATGAGATGGTATGTATACTGGTTGTCGTCATTAGTTTTGTCGACAATAATGAGTTTTGATGGAACACCTAGTGAGCTTCCGTAACTTGATATGTGTCCTGATGGATTTATCAGTTTCATTTTTGCTCTATCCACTGTAATTTTATAGATTCTTGGGTGCCCGAATACTGTTCTTGAGATCTACGGTAGGACATAGTCAGTGCACGTGGGATTCAGAGATTTATTTATGTATCGATTTTGAAGATAAATGTAGCTGATTATTGAGACTTCATTTCCATTTTTAACTTATTTCTACGCATTTTAAACACCCAAATTTTGAGCTCTATGACCTGGATATCTGTTTGACAAGTTGTTTGCGTCAGAGGCTGAGATAAGTTTTACTCTGATGGCATCTGTCATTGTGACCTATGCCAACGTCACGTGATAGTGGAACCAAACTCCACCAAAGCAAGAATAATTGTGTGTGTGTGCTTATGAAGAGATGCCATCTAAAGTGAAAACAACTACTGGATGAGGATGCTTCTGGTTCCCTTTCATTTAACTGAAGATGTAATTTAGGAAATTCGCCTTTTACTTGATTTTATTCTAAACGTCCTTATTGCCATCTTATTTCCTCTTGATTTGTCCCTTCCTTTGAAAATGACCTCACAAATTATTAACGCATTTCAATTTGGGAGCGTTTAGGTTTCACCTGAGCACTGGTCATTTCGGGCAGCCACTCACCTCCTAACAACTCCAACCTTGAAATACCCGTGTAAAATTGACCTGCAATGGTTTACCTACAGTTCAGTTGTGAAACACGCCCTCAGGTGGATTGAAAGGGGTAAAGTTCAGAAGTGCTGACTCCCGACACTTTTCGTGTATTATACAGAAAAAATGCTCCCCTGGTGACCATGTGACACAGTTAAGTGAACCAGAAAGAATGGCGTCAAGGCTTCCCGATAATTCGTCTCTAATCCTATAGCATAAGTCAAAAACATTTTATCTCCATTTTTAGATGGGCTTTGCTTGAGAGCTGGAAGCAAACAGCACTGATTTCGGTGGCAACTTTTTAGTATCTATGTATCAGAAGTGCAAGTGTTCATGGGCCTGAAAATTACATCAACCATGGGAGCGTCAACCGCAAAAGCTTCTGCGTTCAGCTGCTGCTCCCATCCCTATTTCATCTACTGCCCTACTTAGAAGACACGTGTCTAAGAGTGAGATTCCTGTGCAGCGATCAGATGATCATGTCCAATTTTTACATATGCATAGTCAGGAAGGACGCCGCCTAAAGCTGAAGAATAATTAGAGTCGTTCTGAAATGGATAATAAGCATTCTGTACGCAATTCGTCTCTCATCTTGAGTGGCCCGTGGTTTATCAGGAACAACTGAGCCTTGATGCCCACAGGGAAATAATGGTCTAGTTTCAAGCTGGAACGTACTAACTGACAAAGAAGTAGAGAATGCGATAATGGCCTTTACTCACCGGATGAACATAATGAAGGTGATGCAATGAGTCCCAAAGCCCTAGAGATTTATCATTCCGATGCATCTTGTCTACCAACTTGTCCTGATGTCTTCATTGATATTCAGACAGAGAAGTAGAATTACCCAAGATGAAACTCCAGATATGATGGACAATTATTGACGTCCTGTTCCACATATGCTTATGACTCGTCGTAACTAAAGACGTGTGCTCAGATCTGACAGTAACAGAAATGGTTTAATGAGCTCGCTGCTACATTTCACAGATTTCCTTTAAGATGGATTTCCACAAGCAGTTGACTGTCGTCTCAGTGATATACTCGATATTTTCATAGGTTCAAATGCAAAGCAGTTTCAACATGGAGGCACATTAATGGACGGGAAGACGACACGGGTTTGAGGGGATCACACGGGATAATAATCAGTTACTTTCAGGAGGCCCAAGATGATGTGGAAGAAGGCCTACTTGCCCCAGGTGATTCCTTAATCATAGGTTCTACTACTATTCCTAGTTCTAATGATGTTTTGGTCTCGACTTTAACGAATGCCGTGACATCGTTATAGTTTTGGTCTATTTCTGGAATCAATTAGAGGAAATCTCCTGGCATACCAGTGCAGCAGCTTAAAACTGTACATACCCCCACATCAGCGTCTAATAATGACTCACTAGCCGTGTTAGTCACAGGATCAGAGAACAGTCCATTTTTTTTCTCTCATCTGATTACGTAATCTTTGTCTTAAACCTCACTCTCCCTTTTATAATCTGTAATTTTGTTTGTCTCTTGTTTCTATGATTTGAGCTCAACTCAGTTCATTGTTACCTAACTTACTAGTCACTATGCATCTAACGCATATCTCGTCTTTATTACGTGACTCCTTTACCATTTTCTGCATACATTTATTTTGTTTTAATTTGAACTGCCTGTGTGAAAACTATATAAGCGCAATTTTCTGAGCACTGTTTACTAATTGTGGAAATTTCTGTCAACTGACAACATGTAAAATTTGCAAGTATGTTAAAACATGTCTGTACTTAAACCTCATAATTTATTTAGGCTGTAAGCAGCTGATGAGAAACCAACGAAATAAGCAATGATGGTACCACATTGTTCTGCACAAACCACTGTAGTTCTTGCTTTGTTCAAACAGTCCATTTAGTTTTACTTCGTCAAACGCCGAGAATAATGTGCATACCAGATCTTAAGGAACAGAACTTGAAAACAATTGAGATGAGCTGCCATCTAGGATGTGCTCCATCCTTCCTGATAACATGACCCAGTCATTCAATGAAGCAGGTCAATCAACGGAAAACAAAATATTACTACATAGAGTCAGTCAAACTTCGATATCAAATAAACTATGGTTACGAATGAACAAATACAGCTTATACTACTTACTACAGATAAGTAGTACACTTTCTAACACAAAAGAATGAATGACAATGGCAGATAGGAAAGGCATTACCAGGGAACTTCTAAATATACTTAGAGTTTGTTTTCTTTACTATGTCAGCTAATCCTATAAACT